GTGATCATCATCATCCTTATCATCATCTCTTTCTTAGTCTCTTATCCTTATCATCATTATCATCATGGTTGTCGTCATCTCTTATCAGGCAGCATTGGTGATGCAGAGGATGCTGCGAGGATCGTTATCAGCACAGCCGTTAGTGATGCTAAGGATGCTACGATGATAGTTATCACCCTTGTCATCATCTTTATCATCATCTGACCATCACCTAGCATCATCTCATATCTTACTATATATAGAAACCAAAAGGGACGTTAGACATCCTTGGCAACGCAAAGGATGCGATGATGATAGTTATCAAGGAACAAGTAGTGATGCAGAGGATGTTGTGATGATAGTTGTCATGACGCGGATGATAACGATCCTCACGCCCCCATTCTCATCATGGTCGTCGTCATCTCTCATTAGGCAGCATTGGTGATGCAAAGGATGCTGCGATGATCGTTATCATCACAGCCGTTAGTGATGCTAAGGATGCTACGATGATAGTTATCATCCTTGTCATCATCTTTCTCATCATCTGATCATCACCTAGCATCATCTCATATCTTACTATATATAGAAATCAAAAGGGACAGTAGACATCCTTGGCAATGCAAAGGATGTGTTGATGATAGTTATCAAGGAACAAGTAGTGATGCAGAGGATGTTGTGATGATAGTTGTCATGACGCGGATGATAACGATCATCAGGCCCGTGCCACTCTCATCGTGGTCGTCGTCATCTCTTATCAGGCAGCATTGGTGATGCAGAGGATGCTGCGATGGTCGTTATCATCACAGCCGTGAGTGATGCTAAGGATGCTACGATGATAGTTATCATCCTTGTCATCATCTTTCTCATCATCTGATCATCACCTAGCATCATCTAATATCTTATTATATATAGAAATCAAAAGGGATGTTAGACATCCTTGGCAATGCAAAGGATGCGATGATGATAGTTATCCAGGAACCAGTAGATATGCAGAGGATGTTGTGATGATAGTTGTCATGACGCGGATGATAACGATCATCACGCCCCCATTCTCACTGGGTCCTCGTCATCTCTTATCACAGCATTGTGATGCAAGGATCTGCGAGATCGTGGGCAGCACAAGCCGTAGATCTAAGATGCTACGAGATAGTAATCACCTTTTCATCATCTTTCTCATCATCTGATCATCACCTAGCATCATCTTATATCATATTATCTTATTATAAATAGAAATCAAAAGGGACGTTAGACATCCTTGGATGTATGTCTCTATGTATGTATGTATGTATGTATGTATGTATGTATGTATGTTTCTTTCTTTGTTTGTTTGTTTATTTGTTAGTTTGTTTCTTTGTGTCTCTCTATCTGTCTCTATGTATGTATGTATGTCCCGCGTGGCCCTGCACGTATACTCCAACAACACAAAAATACAACATGGAACGCCACAGCGCTTCCAACATTCTACAACACCCACGCTTCAACTGCCACCGGCAAACTCTGGCGAGCGCGCTTGCGCCTACGCTGGTATGTTGCGCAGCACCGCAATTTGCCGACAGGTTGCTTTATGGGCAAGCAACGGGGCGCCACGCTTCCTCTTTGGACCGTGCAAAGCGAGGCAAAGCTCTGAACCTGTGCCGCGCAACCTGCAAGCGGGCGTGTGTTGTGCCTACAGAGCGCAGAACTAGTAGCGCCCCAACGCGCATAAGACTCTAAGCGTCACTGCATCACCGTCGAACCGCCTGACCCTTCCAAACCCGCTGACGCAGCCCGTTACACAAATCCCATTCCTGGTCACGCCAGCTGATCTAGCGCCGAAGCTCGATCAAAAAAGAATAAGCCCGCCAAGCTAGTTAGGCAACGCGCAACTTCAACAGCCTCCGAGTCGAACATGTATATGTTCGCGCATAGTCCCGTGCATGGACACGCCCGCGAAAGTGTGCAGAATGAAACACCCAAAGCCTGCCAAGACTCTAACGCGCCCAAAGATCCCCGTTGTGCCGTGTCAGACGATCCCAAGCTCTGATCCCGTGCCGCGCAACCTACAACACCGGCAGATAAGCGAGCACCAGACCTCCAACAAAAAGGCAACCAACGAAAAAAAGCTGCACGCCCCAAAACTTCCAAGACTCCAAAAAATGGTTGCCTCACCATTAGTAACAAAACACCTAACTGGCAGTTGTCGCTTCCGCGGCCGATGAAGCGCTATCGGCCACCAAAGCATCGCCGAAAGCACTACGACCCACAGCCAAGCAAACGCAGGGCAAACATATATGCGTTGACACACGCGCGCGCACGATATTTTTACGCGGCCCTACGTGTAAATTCCAACTACACAAGAATACAACATGGAACGCCACAACGCTTCCAAGACCTCACAGCACCGACTCGCCACCGCCAAACCGCAAACTCTGGCATCACGCTGGACGCAAGCACACGGGGCGGCTACTATCCGAGTTCCTGCAGAGCACCACAGTTTTGCCGACAGGTTGCTTTATGGGCAAACAACGGTCCTGGAGGCATATATGTGCACGCATCTGCGCATGACCCAATCTATTACCGCGCCCGCACAAATGCGCAGAAAGCAAAAGCCCAAAGCCTTCCAACACTCTGGGGCGCCAACGCTTCCTCGTTGGACCGTGCAAGGCGATGCAAAGCTCTGAGCCTGTGCCGCGCAACCACTTGCAGGCACATCGCCCTGCGTGTGTTTTGCCCACACAAGAGCGCAGAACTAGTCGCGCGGCCGACGCGCACAAACTCTAAGCGTCAATTCACCGTCGAGCCGCCTGACCCTTCCCAACCCGCTGACGCAACCCGTTCCGCAAATCCGATTCCTGGTCACGCGACCTAAGCGTTCGCCAAGGAAAATAGGACGCCCGCGACCTGAGTCGATGATGAATCCACCTCGGGCCGAAGAGACTCTTTCTCCTTCGACACGGCGGTGATCAACGTGGGGACCCGACCACGCTCATCCAAGGCCGCGACGGGTCCGTTAAACTGGAAACCAAACATCTCAGTGTTTTATGCATGTAGGTGTGTAATGTAAAAGTATTATGTCTGTAAAGTAATGTTCAGGTAATGTGAATGTATGTAATGTAAGAATGTAATGTATTAAATAATTTTTGTTGGCAGTCTTCTCAGGTGTTCAACCGTCGCAAGTTCGTTGCTTGAATACACATCTTCCCCATGCCTCGAAGGTCCATCGTGTCTGTCTCACAACGGTAAAAAACTACCAATAAACATTCATCTAAATGACCGTAAAAACCTCCGTCTGAAAGATGTCAAGAGTCTTCACCTTATTATGTATGATGTAATATCTGTAATTAAATGTATTAATTAATGTTATTAATGTATGTATGTATGTATGTCTGTATGTATGTACGTGTGTATGTATGTTTCTTTGTTTGTTTGTTTGTTTGCTTATTTGTTAGTTTGTTTGTTTGTGTCTCTCTCTCTCTGTCTCTATGTATGTATGTATGTATGTCCCGCGTGTGGCCCTGCACGTATACTCCAACAACACAAAAATACAACATGGAACGCCACAGCGCTTCCAACATTCTACGACACCCACGCTTCAACTGCCACCGGCAAACTCTGGCGAGCGCGCTCGCGCCTACGCTCCAATGTTTTGCAGCACCGCAGTTTGCCGACAGGTTGCTTTATGGGCTAACAACGGGGCGCCACGCTTCCTCTTTGGACCGCGCAAAGCGAGGCAAAGCTCTGAACCTGTGCCGCGCAGCCTGCAAGCGGTATCTTCGCACATCGCCCTGCGTGTGTTGTGCCTACAGAGCGCAGAACTAGTAGCGCCTCAACGCGCACAAGACTCTAAGCGTCAATGCATCACCGTCGAACCGCCTGACCCTTCCAAACCCGCTGGCGCAGCCCGTTACACAAATCCCATTCCTGGTCACGCCAGCTGATCTAGCGCCAAAAAGGAATAAGCCCCGCCAACTATTTGGAAGCAACGCGCACTTCA